TATTTTGCTTAATTGACAAAATTTTTGTACTTAAATTCTGTTTTACTAAAAGAGTGTCAAAACTATCTTCAGTTTCTCCAGAGCTTGATTTAAGATATTTCTGTGTAGTACCTAAAAATGCCAAGATATAATTTTATATGCTGAATAGTAATAATAATAATAGTAAAGTATTGATGACATCCAAGCATTAAAAGATATTGTCATTCCTGTTTTCATTTTTTTCTTTCCCAGATTTAAACTTTCAGCACAAACTAAGCAGTAAGCACTTTGTCCCAGAATCTCTTTCCCATAATTAGTCACTTTACTTGACTGATTTTTAAGTGAAGAAACTAATTTCTTGTTAGTAGCAAGAGTTCATTATTTCTGTATGCTTGACACTAGAACTTGTAGTAAAAAAATATCTAAATAAAACAAAGACAATGTTTTCCTTTAAATATTCTGTTTTCTAACATATTTAAGGATTATCATCTTGGTGTTTGCAGGCAAATACCAGTAAAATTAGAATAGGAATCTTTATAAATGATTTCAGGCAATTAACATTTCTTTTAAGTTTAGAACTTATTTGAGCATCAGTTTTATACTTTGGACATATAAAATGAATAAATTGGATAGATATGTTTTTTATATCAAAGGTATTATGGTTGCCAGAGAAGTTGTTTTTTAAACTGTTGAGCAAAGTAAGTGTGTTTCTCAGTTGTTACCAGATTCAGCCTTCTCTTGCCTTTTTCTGTACCTAATGCAATTTGCCATTAAGAAAGTGCTTCAGAATAGATATTTGTCTTCAGGTATACAATTCCTGTGCCCAAACCACTGTGTTGAGCCAAATTGCGGTTAATAAAAGGCCTTTTTTCTGTGATGCCATAGGCTAAAGATCTGCATTTGTTATTCCACTGGAAGTGAAAAATACTATACATGTCAGTGAACTGTCTCCCTGGACATATGTTTCCTGATAGGATTAAAAACCACCTTGAAAACTGAATTTTGTTTATAGTCTATTTCTATGATAAAGGGAAGTCTGGGGATTTCTATTCTGTGAAGACAAAAGGAAATAGTCTAGGATGGCAACAGCAGTAGGATTATCAGTTTATCATTATGCTAAATGTATATGTGTATGCACGCATACATATACACGTAAACATAATATGTACACATGCATATATAGATGCTCCTTGACTTACAATGGGGTTACATCCGGATAACTCCATTGTAAATTGAAAATATCGTAAGGAAACTTAACGATATTTTCAACTTGCAATGGGTTTATCCAGATGTAACCCCATTGGAAGTTGAGGACTGTATTGAATGCATATTGCTTTTGCACCATTGTTAACTTGAAAAATCTATGTCAAAAAATTTTAAGTTGTGGACTGTTTGTATATACAACTATATAAACACAAATATATGTATTTTTGGTGCCTAGTTACCCAGCTGTTGCACCATCTATCTGATTTTGTTTGGTGATGAGTAAGCTGTTTGGCCTCCTTAAAGATCTTACTGCTCTAGCCAAGATGATTATTTTTGCAAGGCCTGAATTCTTACTTATCTTACCCAAGAACTTTCTGCTCGTAGTGCCTTTCTATATATTGTTGAATCAGGTAAAGATTTCTTTCTAGTCAACCAAAAACAGTCCTGGTTTGAAACTTATACAAGTAGTAGGTTTCATTCAAAATACATTGTTTAAATATGTGATTCAGCCAGCAAATATTTAAAAAAAAGAAATAAAAACTCTATTCTTTTGTTTTATGGTTAAAAAGTTTTTAAAAAATAAGATATGCCAAAGGATAGTTTTTACGTTCTTAAAAATGTCCTAGTTGTGAGTATTGAATAATTATTGATGATACATAAGTTAAGAACTATATGTAGCAAACAGACAAGCAATTGAAATTATACAATACAGAAGTAGGGACATGTCTTCATTTCTTTGAATTTGCTATCCATAAGGACACTGGTAGGAGAATGGAGAACCTTTAGTAACTTACTATTTTTTTTCAAACTTCTGAGCTTAGGTTCATATAAATAGTCTTAATATCCTAATCTGGAACTCAACAACAAATTGGTTTTAGTGACTGAACATTTCTTGTGGCTTTGTTAAACAACTCAGAAATACCTCTTGGCTTAGAACAATGATGAGTTTTTTAACCTGTCCTGCTACTGCTGCTCTTAGTTCCCGTAAATTGAATGTAAAACATTTTAGCTCATTAATAGTATTTCTTGAGATACTTGTTTTCTACTGTTTTCATTATAGCTTTTGAGGAACTTGAAAAAGCCTTGAGTACAGCCCAAAAAACAGAGGAAGCACGGAGAAAAATGAAGGCAGAAATGGATGAACAAATAAAAGCTATGGAAAAAACAAGTGAGGAGGAACGCATCAGTCTTCAACAGGAATTAAGTCGGGTGAAACAGGAGGTTGTTGATATAATGAAAGTAAGAATAATTCTGGAATGAAATGAGTTACAGCATTTTTGAAATTTAAGTCTATTTTTCCTATAATCTTTGACAAAGGAAATTTGTATTTTATTTATTTATTTATTTATTTTTATTTTATTTTTTGAGACAGAGTCTCACTCTGTTGCCCTGGGTAGAGTACAGTGGCGTCGTCACAGCTTACCGTGACCTCAAACTCCTGGCTCAAGTGATCCTCCTGCCTCGGCCCCCCAAGTCACTGGAACTATAGGCACGAGCCACCACACCCAACTAATTTTTTCTATTTTTGATAGAGATGGGGGTCTTGCTTTTACTCAGATTGGTCTCAAACTCCTGACCTCAAGTGATCCTCCCACCTTGGCCTCCCAGAGTGCTAGGATTACAGGCCTGTGCCACCGCACCTGTCCTAATTTGTATCTTAGATCTTGACCATTTCATGATGTTCAGAATATAGTGGAAAAGCACTTTTGATAGAGAAATGAACTTAATACTTAGATAATTCTTTGGAACCTTTTAAAGCTTTCCTTTCTCTCCAGTGGGCCACATTGTAAACTGAGATGTGCCTCAACTGTTTTATGGCTTTCTGACTCTAGGCTCCTTGAAGGTAGGTTGCTTAGCTGCTCCAAGTAGCATCTCTTCCACAGAACTTGGCCAAGAAGGTACTTGCCTAGTGTGTGTTTGAGGATGTGACTGAGGGGCTAGAGATTGTTTAAATGTTTTGGGTTTTTTTCTCTTTTTTTCTCTTTTTTTTTCCTTTTTATGGAGACAAAGCCTCACTCTGTTGCCCTGGCGAGAGTGTAGTGACGTCTTCATAGCTCACTGCAACCTCCAACTTCTGGGCTCAAGTGATCCTCCAGCCTCAGCCTTCCGAGTAGCTGGGACTACAGGTGCGCACCACCATAGCCGGCTAATTTTTTCTATTTTTTGTAGAGACGGGATCTCACTCTTGCTCAGGTTGGTCTTGAACTCCTGAGCTTAAGCGATCCTCCTGCCTCAGCCCCCTGAATTGTAAGGATTACAGACATGAGCCACCACCCCGGCCTTGTTTAAATGTTTTAAAGGATCAGTATTACTTGATATTCTGCTTACTCTTACAATTATAGATAGACCTCATTTTTAAAATTAGATAGCTTTTTGAAAAGGTCTCTTTTAGAAATTAAATTTTTAAAATCCCTTAGATTTCCACTTTTTCAGAAATGTGAACATGTCTTTATCATGACCCCTCCATGCCCCCAGCTCCCTTCCTCAGCCGTTTTTCTCTGCTTTGGTTTTTGCTTATTTTTCCTCCTGTCATATTTGCCTTTGTTGACTCTTTGCTCATATTTTCCCCTATTCCTTTACTGACTCATTTGTATTCTTGATTATGTCCACTAAAATCAAATGGCTCAAGATAAATTATAGATCTGAATAGGTGAGACTTGGATTTTAGTTGCAGTGTTTATTTTTACAACTCCTGGTAAGATTTCTATGCTTTTACTTATTAGTGCATAGCAGGTATTGAGGGGGGAAAATTATATTCTTTTCATATATTTTCTTTCTCCTGTTGAACTATAGATAATTTGCAATGTAGAAATTATTTGTGATCAATTATTGGATATACAGGGCCTTAGCTGTAACTACCTGAGTGTAGTTTAATTTTTTAAATAATTAGTCATATATGGTAAGTACTGTTACAGTGGAATCTAACAACCTAAAAATAATTAATGAATTATTTTGAAAGGTTATGATATGGGGATATGGTATAAAAATTAAAAGATAAAAAGTAGGCCAGGCATAGTGGCTCACTTATGTAATCCCAGAACTTTGGGAGGTGGAGGCAGGAAGATTGTTTGAGGCCAGGAATTTAAGACTAGTTTGGGCAACATAGTGAGACCCTGTCTTTACAAAAAAAGTAGTATTAGCTGGCGTGGTGGTCTATGCCTGTAGTCCCAGCTACTCAGGAGGCTGAGGTGGGAGGATCGCTTGAGCCCAGGAGTTCAAGCCTGCAGTGAGCTGTGATTGTGCCACTGTACTCCAACCTGGGTGACAGAGTGAGACCCTGTTTCAAGAAAAACAAAAAAGTTAGAAAGTATGCAGTGAAAAGGTTCTCCTCCAAGTAGCCCCTTAGTTTTCCCAAAGAAATCTACTATTTTCTTTTATTGAATATACTTCCCAGAAATAATCTCTGCATATGATTTCTCTTTTATGTTTTATAATCTCCTCTTTAATTTATTTAATACAAAAGCATGTTATATGTTTTTCTATATTTTGATTTTTCACCAAATAATCTGGGAGATTGTTATTTTTATCTATTGATAATTGATAATTCATAATGATGCCCCGTTTGTTTTAGAGGCTGCTCAAGGCTTCATTGTATGAATGTCTCATAATTTAATCAGTCTCCTACTGATGGATATTTAGATCATTTTTACCTTTTGCTATTGCAAATTGTGGATATCCTTATACATACTTGCTCATGTACATATTTCCTTAGGATAGATTCCTAGAAGTGGAATATTACTCAGGGAAAGATCATATGTATTTGTAATTCTTACCTGGTTGCTACAAACTCTGTAGAGGACAATTTACACTCCAACAAGCAATGTATTTAATATTAGAATATGTTTTCCCTCCTCACAAATATGGTGTTATCTAACTTTTTAATATTTTCAAGCTTATAAGTAAAAAAGAAAAAATCATTTTTGTTCTGATGTGCATAATTCTTACCACTGTGATATACATATTTTTGTATATTTAAAAGGAATTTTTAATTTTTCTCTTTGAGTTATCCAACCAAATCCTTGACTCATTTTTCTATTGGGCTGTTTGGTCTTTTATTGATTTGTAGAAATTCTTTACTTAAAGTGGGAATTAACTCTCTGGATATAAGGTGCTTTTATTCAAACAGTTTTCTCAGTTTGTTATTTGTTGACTTTGCTTTGATTTGTTTTTGTTTTTTGGCTTTTTTTTTTTTTGGTCATGCAGAAGTTTTTGTTTTCCTGGTAGTTGAATTTATTAGCCATTTCCTTAAGCGCTATCTGGATTTTTGTTCTACTTAAAAACACATGCTCAATTCTGAGATCATTGAAAAAAAAAATCTACTTTTTCTTCTAGCACTTTTATGCTTTCATTTTTTTATGATTGCATCTTTGATCCAACTGAAATTTATTTGGTACAAGGAGTGAGGTAGGGATCTAACTTAAATTTTTTCCAGATGACCACCAAATAGTCTCTAAATCATTTATTTAATAATATACATTTTCCCCTTTGATATGCCTTATCTTTATTACGTACTAAATTATTAAAGTATTAAATGTGGGTCTTTTTTCTGAATTCTCTGTGCTATTCTCTTGGTTTAAGCATGTGCTGTTAATACACTATTGTATTTACTCTAATTTTATAATATGTTATATTTGGTAGCTTCCCCTTATTACTGTTATTTTTTGGAAGAGTATTGGCTATTCTTGCTTTTTCTTGCTTTCCATTCTGTTTTTAGTTCATTTGATTGTATTAACTTTTTTTTTTTTTTTTTTTTTGAGACAATGTCTCACTCTCTTGCCTGGGCTAGAGTGCCGTGGCGTCAGCCTAGCTCACAGCAACCTCAAACTCCCGGGCTCAAGCGATCCTCCTGCCTCAGCCTCCCAGGTAGCTGGGACTACAGGCACGCGCCACCATGCCTGGCTAATTTTTTCTATTTTTAGTTGTTTGGCCAATTTCTTTCTATTTTTAGTAAAGACGGGGTCTTGCTCTTGCTCAGGCTGGTCTCAAACTCCTGAGCTCAAACGATCCACCCGCCTCAGCCTCCCAGAGTGCTAGGATTACAGGTGTGAGCCACCACGCCCGGCCTGATTGTATTAACTTTTTAGATTTATATAGGAAGATTTGACATTTTTATAAGATTGAGTTTTCCTATCCTAAAAAGAACAGGGCCAATACCTCTTAATAAATAGTACATGCCTGAAAAGCTAGGCATAGTTAGATTGGTCCCGCCAGGGCAGCTTGACCACAGCATAATGCCCTCTCTGAGAGCATCCTTATTCACCCTGCTCTGCTTCCCTATCCTGACTGGTGGAGAACATCCCTGCAAGATATGGAAATGGAACTTCAGCCTCATCAGGCTCTACTGTAGCAGCAACAGTTCTTGTCTTAAACTAAGAGAAAAACATTATTAGTTTTTTTTTTTAACTATTGTGGCTTTGGTGACTTTTGATCTATGTAGGAAATTGTATTCTGATTTTTCCTCTTAATAAGTTATTAGTGGCTAGTTGCTGTGGCTCATGCTTATAGTCCTAGCACATTGGAAGGCTGAAGGGGCAGGATTGCTTCAGTCCAGGAATTAGAGACCAGCCTAGGCAATAGCAAAACCCTGTCTCTACAAAAAAATTTAAAAATTAGCCAGGTGTCATGGTGTGCACCTGCAGTCCCAGCTACTCAGAGGCTGAAGCAGAAGGATCTCTTGAGCACAGGAGTTGGAAGCTGCAATGAGCTATGATTATGCAGTCTAGCCCAGGTAACAGAGTGATATGTTGTCTCAAAAAAAAAAAAAAAAAGTTATTAGTTTGATTAAACTGTAATAAAGTAGCATTTAGTTGTGGAGTTACATATTTTATTCTGGATGTTGTAACTTTATCTATTTGGCTGATTTTCAGAAATCCTCAGAAGAAAAAATTGCTAAACTACAGAAGCTTCATGAAAAGGAGCTGGCCAGCAAGGAGCAGGAACTCACCAAGAAGTTACAGACCCAAGAAAGGGAATTTCAGGAGCAAATGAAAATAGCTCTTGTAAGTACCTGTTTTGTTTCTGCTGTAGGTAAACTTAGCAGAGTTATAAAGTTGTCATCCTCTCACCCCTGCATCCTAGCTTGACGTCAGACTACTGGCAGCCTTGAACTTTGGTTATGCAGAGAGGATAGAAAGTAGGCAAGAAAGACTGTCAGAGCTTGTTAGCTTGGTATTGTGTGAAAATTAAATTTACTGATCTAACAAGTTTTCATCAGTCAGTTTATTTGTTTATCCATCCCTCCTACCCTGGCAGTAGGCTATAATTAGGGAAAAGAAAAGAAGGTAGGTTAATTGAAGCAGTGGTAACTCAGGAAGAATGTCTAAAAAATTCACTGGACTGAATTTACCCAGAGCTCAAGGCTGAATTGCATTTTAAAGAAAAAAAAATGAAAATGACCAAGTAGTTTTCATTTTAAGTAGAATAATTTCAGTACTAATTTTCAGTCCCCACGATGTTTAAAAAAAAAGAGTTAGATTAAAAAACTGACAGAACAAGATCAATAGCCAGAAAAGCAGATTCAGATTTTTGCTGGAAGATTTGTTGAAATAGCATAATTTGAAAGTTTAAAACAAAAAATATTTTTCTTCAATTGTGAAAGCCTTTTGTATAAGTTGTCATAAAAAGTGTTAGTGTCAAAAAGATAGTTTGTTTTTATGTGAGGTTATTATCTATAATATAATAGTGTGTAATAATAATGTATAATTTGAAAATTCTTCCAGTGTAAAAGGTTGAGAAATAGTGTTTTAAGTTTTAATATCCTTGTTTTCATACATTTTTTTTTTTTTT